TCCAGCCGCTGTGGATTCGACTCAGACTCATGGTGACCCAATGTATGAGAGAACTGTGCTCTACAGGGTTTTCAATCGGTGATTTTTTTTCAGAAGTAGACCGAAAGACCTTTCTTCTGAGGTGCCTCGGGGTGGAATTGAACCTCGAATTTTTTGGTTAGCAGTTGAGGGACTCCTCAGCTTCTTACACATTAAATATTCAGTGACGACTCTACATTCCACTCTGTGCTAGGCTCTAGTGATGCAGAGAAAGAGACATCTCTTTTCCCGGAGAAATTTATAAGGTATGGGAGTGACTTATGACTAGACTAAACATTACAACTGGCAGTGTAAGTGCTGATGTTAACAGGGACAGGTAAGAAGGACATCAGCTACTTCTGGGTGAGAAGAAATGTCAGCAGCTCCTTAAAGAAGGAGGAAGGAGCAGCCAGGTGGAAAGGGACTTTCCAGGTCAAGGAAATAGCATGTGAAAAGTCAGGGACACCTGGTAGGTAGTCAAATTTGGCCAGAGAGCGAAACCAAACCTGGGAAGTGCAGCTGCAGCGTTCAGCAGGGTTCTGTGGGGGCAAATCACCGATCAACTTATACACTGAGATGGGGCATTTGTCCATTATCCTGAAACTGTGGTGAGTCCTGAAAGGATTGTAAGCCCCAAAGTGACAAGACTGTACAGAGATTTTAGAAAAATCCCTGTGGCTTTTGAAAAGGAAGAATTCAGTGGTGCTAGAGCAGAAGTGAAGAGGCTTATGGGAGACTTCGCAGTAGTTGAAGCAAAGATTAGACAATGATCTCCTGGTCTAGGGGGTCTGACAGTGGGGATGGCAAGGAGGTAATGGAGGAGGTACGTGAAGTGGGGAACAGCAACAAGACCAGGCCGTCTGGCTCGGGTAAGTGGACATGAGTAATTTTGACAAAAATAAGTTTTATTTTTAATAGTGTGAGATGTCTGTGGAAGAGCTGGGTAATATTCAGAAGGCAATTCATTCACCCATTTATCAGTAAAAAAAAAGAAAACAACAGAAGTTGGTGAGTGTATGGAGAAATTGGGACCCTCATTCATTGCTGGTGGGAGTGTAAAATGGTACAGCCATTGTATAAAACAGTTTGGAGGTTCCTGTCACACATTGTAATTGGAGTAATAGTTTCTATGAGGTATGTATTAGTTCCCTAGTGCTGCTGTAACAAATCACCTGAACTTGGTGACTTAAAACAAAACACATTTGTTCTTTCACAGTTCTGGAGGTCAGAAATCCAAAATCTGTTTCATTGGCCTGAAATCAGGTGTTGAAAGAGCTGTGCTCTTTCTGGAGGCTCAGAGGGGAGAATCCATATCCTTGACTCCTCCAGATTCCAGTGGCTGTTAACATTCTTTGGCTTTGGCCACATCAGTCCCTGCTTTGTCATTACATTCTCCTCTCTGTAGTCAAATCTCCCTCTGCCTCCTTCTTATAAGGATACTTGTGATTACATTTAGGGCCCACCTGAATAATGCAGGATAATGTCCCCATCTCAAGATCCGTAACTTAATCATACCTGCAAAATCTCTTTTGCCATATAAAGTAACATCCACAGGTTCCAGGGATTAAGATGTGGACTTCTCAGAGGGCCATTATTCAGCCTACCACAAGGTAGATACTATTTTTTCAGAGGCAGAAAATGAAGCAGAGAGGACTAATTTGTTCCAGGTCTTACAATGAAACACCTAACAGAGATTTTAAATTCTGGCAGCCTGTCTTTAAGACACACTCTGAACACTATTAACCTGTATTCTTACCCTCTATGTTTCATGGGTTAAAAGTCACACTTAGGTGTAGAGACGCCATCAGGTAAAACGCTGCGTGCTGTATCCTATTTCACTTTGTTTGCCTGGCCTGTTTATCAAAGTTGTCCAGAGTAGAAGAGTTGAGAAAACTGTTATACAGGCTACTCAGTGGAAGCATTTCCTGTTTGGTTTACACTTGGTAATGAAGGATTTTCTAACAGAATATGCCAGCAAGTAATGTTATCACCACTTTTTATACTGAAAAACCAAAACAACAATAAAAGAAAAAGAACTATAGATGGAAAGGTGTTGCGGATTCATCTAAAGCCACCCTGGAGGACAGAGAAAAAGAGCTGGTCCCAGAAGTCAGATGCCCAGGCCTGTATTCATCCTGTCCAGACCTGATTAAGCACCTGTTTAGAGGGATTGTGACTGATCACCCAGCACCTGAGACCTTACACCCCAGGTTCCAGATGGAAATGAGCCGAGGGATCACAGATACATGTATTAATCACTAATCTATGATCTGCTATTCTCATCCTTTGTGGGAGATAACTTGACACTTTTAAAATCCTTTTCTGTTTGAGAAAGAACAGAGTTGCTTTAGATCCTCTCTGGCTGTGACCTACTGTGCTTTGCAAAGGTGATTTGGCAAGCAGCAAACCCATCTCCAACATCACACATCTATGGAAAATTCCAGTCAGGTTTTAGACCCAGTCACAGTACATTTTTCTGAGGATCAGTAATGATTTGCTGAGGATCAGTAATGCTCTCTCTGTATGCTGGCTGACAAGGGCATGATCTCTGAGCTTATTATACTCCATTCGTCAGCTCCTCTCTGACACTGTTGTCTGCAGGATTCCTTAGGAATATTTGAGGCATTTAGGCAAACTTTCAGAAGCTGCTCCTGCCTGTATCCTCTCACTTCTTAATCAACATTTCCTGGCTGAGACTATGAATATTTCAACTTTGGTGGGTTATCAGATGCATTCTTTCCCATTCTGCTTTAATTGAGTCTCTGTGCCCATTGGGGTTGCTATACATGGCATATTTTCATCGTTATTTTCTGGAATCAGGGCCTCAAAGGAAATTGGCAAATTCATTAGCCTTTCTATTTCTTTCCCTCTTGATTGTTAAAGAAAATGATTTGCTAGAGACTATGTATTTTGATGTTTGGCAAAGCTCAGTGGTGCGGAGACAATATTAGAATTCTGCCCTGGGGAAAGAGAGGGTCTGCTAACTGTTCTCCTTTCCTTATAGAACTAGAAAGAGGTTCATCTACCACCCAGTTTCTCAAGGTTTTTCTGAGCACCTTGCAAGTATCTGGGTTAGATCCTGGAAATCCTCAGTGTTTTCTGTTGGAAGGTGTTTTGCATTCCTTAAAATGATGTCACACTATAATTGAGAAACTTGGTTCAACCTCTCATCTATTGATTTGTGAGGTTGGACACACTGAGATTTCCCTTCCTGACAGTGTTGTGGAATGAGAACACTTGGGAGAAAGAGAATTGTTGGCCATATCCTGGGTTATTTGTCTATGTTTTCTAGATTGTCATTTGTCGTTTAACTCAGTTTAGATTGTCTTGTGCAACGTCCAGAAAGAAAAACTTTCTGTGAAGTGGATTCTGGCTCGTAGCGACCCCATTTGTTGCACAGTAAAACTGTTCCATGGGGTTAGGTCTGTGACTCTTGGAGGAAGCAGATTGCCAGACCTTTCTTCTGAGGTGCTACTTGGTGAGTTCAAACTCCCAGCCTTTCAGTTGGTAGTACAGTGCTTACCCATTTGGGCCACTCAGGGACTCATGTTGTGCCATGTATAATTCTTTAATTTTGATTAAGTCCAATCTACTGTCTTTTCCTTTATGATATCCCAGTTTCATATTCTGCTTTGGGAAAGCCTTCCTCACACCATGAATATGATTTCTTATCCTATTTTCCATTCTCCTAGGTATTTATTCTTACGTTGGGCTATTACCAAATTTATGTTATATAGGCTATACCTGCTGGTTCTTATATACACGAATTTCAGTTAGTGCAGTTTAACAAATTAACACTAGTCCCCCAACAACACAGTTCAAATCTCAGTTACCACAGTATTATCAACTGTGAGTAAAGTACAAACGTCACAGCTTGCTCTTCAGTCCACAAGTCACAATGTAAATAGCAAATGTGCATTACGATCAGTGACCAATCACGTCACTTCTTTCAAAGTCTGTTGGTGATTGGTTGCTGCGCATCTGTTATTCAATTCATACGCAAAACTGCAAAATGTGTGGTCCTGCTGCCTCCTTGCCTCCCAGTTTGTGTGGTTTGAGCTTGTATGGTCGTTTTTACAGGACTGCACTACCGAGCAAGAGAGGACAGTCTGTGCTTTATCTTATACTTTCTTTCTTGTTTGTACATGAGTTTCTTTTCTGATTCAACGATAGATGATGTATTGCTAAAGCTCATCACATTTTCAAAACTATTGAAAACTTGGAACATATTTTGGTTGGATATACAAATTTTTCTCCTAACCCCAACCATTATTTGACTTTTATAAATTTGCTTTATGTTGATAAACCATACTTGATCATAATGTCTTTAATCGCGGATCTTAAGAGAAATGTACCTCTTGTTTTTTTTTTTTTTGGTATATTTTCCATATTTAATTTTTGTATTAGAGCTCCTCTAGCAGTATTGAATAAGTTGGGAAGCAGCTGATATTTTTCTAAAGCACAGACCTTTGATTACCTTTCCCAATTTCATAAAGCTATTTGTCTTTTCTACTAAAAATATGAGTCAATATTGGCTGCACATAATTTTGAAACCGGACCAATGGGTCCAAGCCCAATGTGCAAGGAGCCAATCTCTCAGACGCTGATTTTGAGAGGAAGAAAGAGTTTATTTCAGGTTAGCAAGCGGGAACTCAGAGATACCGTCCTCATATTGAGTTCCTCAATTTGAGGAAGCATTTACATTTTATAGGTTTGGTAAACTATATATATTCATATAGGGGTGGAAGCAGGCAGATGGGCAGGATCAGGAAGTTCTACATATTCATAGTTTTATTGATTATTTATTACGGGGCGGGGCTAAGACTTGGCACGGAAGTGGCCGACAGACTATTTGCTTTTGAAATGGGCTTGACTACTGCAGATGACGTATGTCTGGTGATTTTTGTTCTTTGACATGAATCTTTTTGTTCCTTGATCTGAGCATGCATGGGGGGTTGAAAGTCCTATGTCAGACACCCTTATCTGTTCTGCGCATGTCTGAGCTCCTTAAGCGGGTTAGATCCAGATCCGTCAGGGATTCTCCAGAGAGTCTGCAGAACAAGTTAGAGGAAGTGAGTGATGTGGTGAAGAGGTGACTGGGAGTGGCCTGATAACTGGTGCAATACTAATTAATTAGGTGTTTTCTTAAGGTCCTGCAACAACTCCCCCTTGTGATTTGTACTATTGCCAATCATGGAAATGGGGGTGACAACTGCTCATGGCTGCTTCCTGCTGAAGTGGGGCGCTGTTGGACAAAAGCCTTGGCATAAGTCTGGATTTGAGATTTCTGGTCCAGAGGCTGGAGAGGCATTTGCCCTTCATTCTGGGGAGGAGTATGGACGACCAAAAGGCCAGTAACATTTAACCTACCTATTTTCAATAAAAACGGGTGAGAGCGAGGAGAAGACATGGGCCAACACTGAAGTTCTTCCAAGTGTCTGTCACCTGTTACACTCACTAGTCAGGACACTCCCCAGGTCTTGCTTGGGTCTGAGGGCAGAGGCACTGGCCCCTTGATGGTACTGAGAGTAAAAGGTGTAATTAATTGTTAAGGAAGTACTGGAAGTGAGGGGAAAACAAAAGGCCAGGGTAGTAGGAGACGATTGGGCTAAGATTCGCAGCCCATAGCTAGGAAAAAGGGACCAAGAGGGTAGACCGATGATGTGGAGGGGTTAGGGTATGCCAGTGAAGTTGTTCACAATGGTGGCACAGGGTTTACTCCCGTTAGAGTTACTCCCTAGGTTCTACCGATACATCTAACAAAGGTGAGGTTTTCACCATGTGCTGTGGCGGAGGCTCATTTGATACCTCAACTTTTGGGCACAGGAGAGGAGACAAGTACTCTGGTTCTTACTTGGAGCAGAGAAAATGGTTAAGTCCAGCAGGGAGGACACAGTAAAGCATACAAGCCCAGAAAATAACAACCAGTATAGCAAATAGAGTTATACTAAGACAACAATCTGTGCCCTTAGGGCACATTGGGTCTAATACATGAAAAAATTTCAGTAAATAAAAGCTGGGGCTATGTAGCTGCTAGGAACTTTCTTCTTTTTAGATAGGAATTTTAGTCCATCAACAGGTTCAGTATCATATTCTGTCTTTCCAGGTTGATGTAACCAGCGAAGATTGGGGTGGTGGGCTCCTCTCGACTCACTGTCTCCTGTCAATCCATTCCCGGTGTTGCAGGGATGGGTAGTCTGGTTGATAAAAGGAGGATTGGTCTCGTACTGGGGCACAAGCTTGAGTCTGGAGTGATGTATCCAGGTCAGACCCCGTTCAATTTGGCCGAGGAGTGGGTGACCAGGAGAACTTCATAAGGTCCTTCCTATCAAGCTCAAAGTTGTTGGCTGGGGGTCTGGTTGTTGCAGTTCTTGAGCAGCGCCCAGTCTCCAGGGCTCAGGTTATGGAGCAGGGTATCTATGGGAAGCATAAGTCTGCTGGCTGCATAATGGTTAATAGCCTTTAAAGTAAAAGAAAGAGTTTGTACATACCTGACTTGATCTAGTTCCCTGGTCACAGGCAACTCCAATGCCCAGGGTCCTGGGGTTTGAGGAAGGATCTCCCATATAACATTTCGTAAGGACTCAACTGGAGTCTGCTTCTAGGCGCTACCCTAATTCTGAGAAGGGCAACGGGAAGAGCCTGAAGCCACCTAAGGTTTGTTTCTGGACAGATTTTGAGCATTGTTTTCTTTAAGGGATGCTTCATCTTTTTAGCCTTTCCCAACATTTGTGGCCTCCAGGAGGCATACAGCTTCCATTTAATTCTTAAAAGTCCTGAAACTTGTTGAACCACTTGGACTACAAAGGCTCCTCCATTGTCACTCTGAATGAAGACAGGTAAACCAAACCTTGGGATGATTTCCTTCAGTAAGACTTTACTTAACTTCAGCAGCCTTCTCCGTTCTTCAAGGGAATGCCTCTATCCAGTTAGTGAAAGTGTCTACAAAAACAAGTAAGAATTTATTCCCTCCAGTCATTGATGGCATGACGGTGAAGTGAAGTCTGTCTGCCAGTGTTCCCCGGGTCCCATACCTCTGGCTTGCACTCTTCCTATAGGTGGGGGCGGTCCTCTCTTGGGATTGTTTTTAATGCAGACCATGCATTGCTGGGTGCCAAGTTGGACATTTTCATATAAGTCAGTCTCCACAATCAGCTTTTGTAGCCAGGTGGCCAGGGCATCCCTTCCATAATGGGTGGTGAGGTGGGCGGCTTGTACTACATCATACATAAGGTGTGCTGGTACTAATATTTGTCCATTGTCATTTTACATCCACCCATTTTTTGTTTTATCTTCTGAGAAATCCCATTGTCCTCTTTTTTCTTTATCTTGTTGGGAATATCCTGGAGCGAAGGCCTGTAGGTCTATATCAGGCAAGAGGGCCAAAACCTGTGCTGGGGTTTTGGCTTTTCCAGCTTCCTTAACTGCCTGATGGGCTAGGTGATTCCCTTTGACTAAGGTGTTATCCCTGGCTTGATGGCCTGGACAGTGCCAACTTCTTTATTGGCTGACGTTAGTTATCTCCTGTCTTTCCACATGGCCCCATGTGCGTGCACAATAGCAAAAGTGTACCTCAAATCTGTGTAAACGTTAATTCTTTTACCTCTTTCCAATTCTAATGCTCTGGTCTATGCAGTCAGTTCACCTTCTGGGCTGAAGTTCCAGGAGGAAGGGCTTCTGACTCTAAGGTCTCGTGAAGGGACACTACAGCATATCCAGGCCGTCGTGTCCCTTGATCCATGAAGCTGCTGTCATGTGAAAAAACTTCAAGGTCCAGGTTAGCAAGCGGAGTATCTTGAAGAGCTGGTCTTTCCATGCCAGGGGACCCCTCGGCCCAACCCAGGGCAACAGCTAGCAGGCTAGCTTGTTGCTTCATTTCCCAGTACTTCTTCTCTTGTTCTTGGTCCCGGTTGTTGTAGACTTTAAAGGCCACCTTGACTAATTGTGAGGTGGTCATATCTAGCCCATTCTCTAATTTCTGTAGCTTGTGCCTTACATTGGGTGCACTCTGAGCGGTAAAAGTCAGGCTAACAGCCTTCTGGGAAGTAGGATAATCAGGAGTCACATCAGCATGTTTTCTATAAGCTTCTAGGACCTGCTCAAGGAAGGCAGAGGGATTCTTGTCTGACTTTTAGTGAACCTCTTGAATTTTGTTGAGGGTTAAGTTTTGGGTGCTTCCTGCCGGAGCCCTTCTAGAATCCAGTCTCAATAATGTTGCAAGAAAACCATATCATTCACTTGGTTTGGATCCCACTTGGGGTCTTAAAGGCGCATAGCCACATCTATTGTGGTTGTCTAGCCGGATTTACCCCTGCCTCATGAAGCCTTTCTGTCTCCGGTCTAGCCTTTTCTAAAACCATCTTTCTTTCCTCCTGAGTCAGCAGGTCTCGGAGGAGGGCATGTACATCTGCCCATGTTGGTTAATGAATATCAAAGGTACTCTGAAAGAACTCTACCATTTGGCTGAGGTTCTCTTGGTAACTGGGCATTGATCTCTTCCAGTTCAGTAAGTCAGTAAAAGTGAAAGGAGCGTGCACCCACACAAAGCCCGTGGCACCCCTTGATCATTGATTCCTGTCGGAACCTGGCAAAGAGCAAACTGCCCTTGCCCTTTATCAGAAGAGGGACGCCCCCGGCCAAATTGACCACCACTGTGGGTGTGAGAAGGAGAGGCCACTTCCTATAATCGGGGATATAGGGTTTCTGGTGTTTTCTTAACCTCTCTTTCTGGTTTCTGAACCGTGCTGGGTCTCGGAGTCCTGGCTGAGGGGCAGTAGCTGCTGCCTCTGGCACGTAAGGGGTGGGGTGGGGGGTGCCATTGGGAAAGGGAGAGGTTCCCAAGGCTCACTTTCTTCTAAAATCTCTTCCTGTTTGTCTTTCTGGTCTTTTGGCTTTTTTGCCCTGTGAACCATTAATTTACATTGTTTCTGTAAGTTTCTGTTTTGATATAATGCCATGAAGGCCTGTACATAAGGGATTTTGTCCCATTCTCCTCCTGTTTATAGAACATTAGCTGTAAGATGGCATCATAAGATAAAGAACCTGAAGTTGGCTGCTTCTCACTCGGCCTCGGGGAATATAGTACCCAATCCTGATTACAGTACTTGATCATGACTTTCTTTTTTCATATCCCCATAGCTGAACTGTTTCCAATTCTTTAAAATGCAACCCAATGGTGAACACTTGGGGATCGACAGTGTGCCTCCCATTCTCTACATAACACACGCACACGCACACCACGTTTACCCTCACTTAAAACTCTTTTCACACCAGCGCCACGCACACACCCACACTAGACCAGGACCTGAGGTGACAGAGATAATCTTGGCAGCCTTAACCTCCCAAATAGCCCTGGCACCACACATCTATGGCACTACTGTATCTCTGATAGCTGGATCAACTAACCCTCAGTAATCTTTTTTCCATAGTTAAGTTGGTGGTCCGGTAGTAAGGGTCGTTTGTAACTGTCACCTGTTTTTGAAAAGGAAAGAGTATGTTAAAGATTTTTCTTATGTAGAACAAGTTAGAGGCTGCAGGAAAGGAGGGTGCTCTTCTTTTTTGATACTCTGACAATAGACACTGTCTGCCTCATCTGAGTAGCTTTTTCTCTCTTCGGGTCGGAAGTGAATGTGTCACTCTAGTATCTTCCAGAAACTTTACAGGTTTTCTTTTCACCTTCATGGTAACTAGAGGCTCAGGTGGAGGACTTGCCTCCATTTCCCTCTCAGTCTGACTTATCTTTTAGGGGCATGACCGGGCCCCGAGTTGCCTCTTTTTTGGTTCCTTTGTTTGGTATTTTGTACACCCTCACTTTCAATGTCCTTTTTTTTTTTTTTTTTTTTAAGCTGCATGGGTTTCTTTTCAAAAGGGTGCGGGGACTTCCTGCTCCTGTGGTTTTGGTCTTCCTCCTTTTCTTTGTTTTCTTGGGGGTGGCCTTCAGCCTGCAAGGCCGCAGCTAGGAAGGCTGCCTGGCGCTTCTGGTCTGCAACTTTCTTTCTTTCTTGCCCCTTATCTCAGCCTGAGTAAAGGCCAGCTCTCCTAGCCAAGGGATTTTTAACCCTGTACCTCGTTCTTTCTGAAGCTTTCTTTTAATATC